TAGACAACCATGAATGCGCCTCCATGCCATCACCCATTCCCATCGTCCATTTCCATGCGTACCCTGCCCAAGGGCCAGGTCATCCTAATAGGTATATCTGTTTCATGTAACCTTGATTGGCACAGTATTTGCCATGAATGCAAACAAAATGAAGAGATCCACAACTATGAGGGTCTCTTCCCCTGCAGAGAAAAGGTCTTAACAGATTCATCATGAAGTAATTTGGAATGGCACTGAAAGCCAGAAGAAAAGGGAGATAAAAAAAAACAAAAGGTCACACACACTTGGTGGACTGGGTCATTTATAAGAGTCTGCAATCACATCCTGTAAGAAAACTGGCATCCTTTCCATTATTTCATAAAACAATCCTTGCATAATTTTCACTTTGAGTCTATTATTCCATTCAGGAGCGTCGGCGGAAAACTTTCAGTTAGTCAGTGGTGTCCCTGAAGATTTATATTGTTTGTTGGTTGTAGGGGCACACCATTACCTGGGAGTCCTACATGAATTATCTGCCCTATGTGACATGACACTAAAAGTTACCAGAAATGACTAAATATGTAACAAAACTCAAAGCTCAGCGGTGACACCTTAGGGCCATGGGAGTTAAGGTTCAGAGTCCTTTAGGGGATTCCTGAATGATGGGATGGGTCTGGTTTGTGACTTGGTCCAAAGCTTGGAGAGACTGCACTCTGCTGCCCTTTCAGATGGGATCCCAAACCAGTATGAACTGCTGGCTGAGGGCAGTTCCAGCATTGCCTCCTCATGCCTCTGAAACCATGGCCCTGTTTCAGTTTTGCATAGGAGTCTAAGTATCCCCTTGCTTCCAGGGCCAAACGGCTTCCCAGCAAGGGGCCTCTGACCTAGGCTTAGAAGTAGGTAACTTGTGTTGCCCTATCCAGTGTATGTAGAAGGAGGCATGGTGGGCTCCATGCTAAAGTGTGACATGTGGAGTAGGTGTGCATGAAACACGTGTCACATCCAGCCAGGACAGTGCCACGATATGGCTTGTAGCAGAGCAAAAGATTTCTTCCGATTTCATGTACCAGGAGCCTGAACCTCTGTAGCCTCCAGGTCCCAGTTCCTTCTTTAAAAGCTGCCCCTGTGAAGGACTATTATGGTCCCCTGGTGCTCTCTAGAGGGGACCTTTTGTGGTACAAGGCCCTGCACCTGCAGGAAGGGATCTTGCTGCCAGGTATTGCAGGTTAAAGGATCAGGAGAGAGCAGAAGGTGCTCAGAGTAGACCTGCTGACTCCAGTGGTGAAATTGGGCTCTTCCTTTGCTTTCTCTAACTACATCCTAGTGATGCACAGGTAGGGGTGGGCACTGTGGGTGAGCTCAGGGCTTTCCTCCCAAGGAGCCCAGACACATAGCAGTCATGGGAATCCTCCATGGGAATCATTTCTTGCTCTGCCCTTTACAAGTACAGGTGAGGAAAAAATCAGGAGGCCCCATACTCCAGAGCTACGTGGCCTCCTATGCCTAACAACAGGATCGCCTGGCAATTCGTGGCTGCTGCATCTAGGACCTGGAGAGAACCAGAAGCTACAGGCAGGGAGCTCCGTATCTTTGAGGAAAGTCAGACACGGCCACTCTCCGCTCCCTTGGTGGGGAGAGTGCATATGATCTCCCAACCCCTAGTGAAGTCATATTAGGTCTTTGGTGCTCTGGAGCTGCCTCTGCATCCCAGGATTGCTCCTCAGTTATAATTGTCCCTTACATCACAATTGAAAACCTGGCAGCTTTTGGCTGGGCTTCCTTGGTGCTGAGCTATGGGTGTAGGTTAAGAGGCAGCGAGTGTATGGGATCATGCTACCTTGGGGAACCCTGTAAAGCATGTTCAGCCTTCAACATCTTGTAAATGCTGTGGCCTGTAACCTCCAGTTTATCAAGCCTGGTCCCTCCTCATCTCTCTCTCCTCCCTTTGGAGCTCGCAGACAGACAGCAGTCCCTGGGGCTTGCCTGCATGGCAGGTACTTTACCTGCACCCAAGAACTGAGAAAAAAACTGTAAAAAAAAAAACCTCCCTGGGGTTTGCTTTACCACCCAGGCTATTCTCTAACAGGGGGAATGTCTACATGTGCTGTTTAATGTGCATCAGCTTATTTTAGCACTAAGGCATCACTTTGAAAAAGTGCACTTTTGCTAAGGCACATTAAAATAAGCTAATGAGCATTAAGCATCACTGAAAAACACTGTTCTTTAGATAATGCACATTAAGCCCAGCCATTGAGCATTTTCTTAGTACCTCACAATGGAGGTACTAGATTCAATGCTCTTTAACTAAACCATGTTAATGCACATGTAGATGCACCCCCCTGACTGCTGTGCTTCATGCTGACCTCAACCTTTCTTGGATGCTGCAGCAGTGAAGCAGGTAGGTCTTGTGGACAGCAACCTCTAATGATCTCTGGGTTCCTGTGTATGTCTGACTGCTCAGGGAAGGACTGGGCATGGCCCTGTGTACATCCTGCAAGAACATAAGGATAAATTCTCGCATATACTAATGGCACGAGAGTAACACATGTAGATTCACATCGCAAACTGCATCACCAGTACTGGAGTCCAGTGAATTTGCATGTTGTATATTCATATATAATTTGCATCTCCCCACTTGGGTGGCTTGCCCTGGTGGTACTGCTGAGACCATATAAATGTTTTATTTTCTACTAGGGGAGAATGGATAGGCAGTGCCCACCAGGCTCAGGCAGGATGATCTCCACTGCTCCACTTCTCTGCCTCCTTATGGCCTGGATTCATGGTAAGAAAGAGAACGGGATTGTGAAAGCCTCGGCTCACACCTCCTTGAGGGGTTTGCACTGGGTCTGAGCAAGTTCACAGTGGCTGTGAATGGTTTCCCAGGGTGTGAATGCTTCCCCTTGTACTGTATCCTGTTCACTACAAAGTCACTTGCTATTTCTAGACTCTTCTGGGCAAGTTGTGCTAACTCACTCTCCAGAGTCCCTGTCGGTTCCTGTGGGAGGAAGAGTCTATCACCTGCAAAGCCAGGACCAGCATTAGCACTTGTCTGAACTGGTGCCAGCAGAAACCTGGACAAGCTCCCAAACTTCTGGTCTACTATGCCAGCAACCTCCCATCCGGGGTCCCTGCCTGGTTCAGTGCAAGGCTCAGGCACGGATTTCACTTTCACAATCAGCAGCAATAAAGCTGCTGCTGCTGCAGATTGCTGCTGTCAGGAGCATAGCAGCTTCCCTTGCACAGTGATAAAACTCAGCACAAAAACCTCCTTGCCACCTCCAGCTCTGTTACTATTGGTGCTGTTTCATTTTCAAATAGCTTTGTCAGAAGCTTACGTAAGTAGTTCCCAATGTTTCCTGCAGCTTTTCTCTCTTGTATCCCATCCTGTATTCCAGTATAGCAGACATATGGATTCCCCTTTCAGTTTACATAACTCCTAGACCTATTGCATCTTTTAGAGCTGCTATTCTTCAGAATACGATGTTTTCTCTGATAAACTAGTCTGTGTCTGTGGTCTCAGTCTCTCTTAGAGCCTCCATGAAATCTCATTTTGGTATCATTACCAACCTCATACAGTTATACTAGTCCTGGAAGTTTTCCATCTATGATGAGATGAGGAGACCATATTCCTTGTTTGTAAAGAGCAAGAAGAGTTTGTGCTGCAAATTCCCAAAGGCCCCGGAGAAAGCGAATTTTCAAATGCATATGAACTCTTCAGGTAATGGGCACAGGCTTGATTTTCAGGGATGGGGTTGGGCAGGTGGAGGGGGTGTCTGCCCTGGCAGGCAGAGCTGTGACTGTGGCTGCCTGGAAAAGTGCTCCTCTCTGTCCCTGAATCCTCTCAGGAGTGCACAAACTTGGGCTGGTTGGTCCTGGCACACACAAGCCCGCTGGACCATCTGAAGAGCACCTGGAGACAGCATCTGAGACACTTGTCCAGGATCTGCTGGGCTGGCCAAGACAGCCCATGTTGGTGGGAGGCAGGGATGGGATGCTGTATAAACCCTCACAAGTGTTTCTGAGTTTTTGGCACTGAATGGAGAAGGGAGAGGCATTTGCAATGGGAAGTGGGTGGATGTCTGCCAGGGCTTTGCCTCAGGGGGTAGGTCTCGTAAGTCATGTAGCCAAGCTGTTTGTTAGCTCTGAAATGGGATGAACCTGAGGGAGGGAAGACAACTGAGGCTCAGCTAGTTTGGTATCCTACTGCATACATTTGCCGTTAGCACAGGGTCATTTCTGAAGAGCACCTGGAGACAGCATCTGAGACACTTGTCCAGGAGCTGCTGGGCTGGCCAAGACAGCCCATGTCGGTGGGAGGCAGGGATGGGATGCTGTAGAAACACTTGTGAGGGTTTATGAGTTTTTGGCACTGAAGGGAGAGGCATTTGCAATGGGAAGTGGGTGGATGTCTGCCAGGGCTTTGCCTCAGGGGGTAGGTCTCGTAAGTCATGTAGCCAAGCTGTTTGTTAGCTCTGAAATGGGATGAACCTGAGGGAGGGAAGACAACTGAGGCTCAGCTAGTTTGGTATCCTACTGCATACATTTGCCGTTAGCACAGGGTCATTTCAGGGGACATTCACCCTGAGATCAAGGGTACGCATGCAGCACTGGCAGACATGCCAGACCTACCTTTACCTTGCACAGCTCAGAAATGTGCAGGGCAGAAAGAGGAATTCCAGCCAGAACCAGCCTCCGATGCACCTATTCAGCTGCTTGCTGGCACGGCAAGTTTCCACAACCCATGGCTACAGTGCCCTTGTACCTGAGCTAGATACACTCATGCTGCCCTGGGTATGTCTAGGCACGTTTCATACTACCAGTGGAGCGTCACTTGTTTGAAAGCATCAAAGTTTGTATTAACCCCCACTCCCCCCGCCCCCCATCTCCTTTACTTAGCATCAGGTAATTTACATATTCGGTCTCCTCTTTTGCATACCCACCCATGGGCAATGGGCCCTTACTCAGCTGTTGAACACATAAACGTTTGCATTGCCGCTCCGTGCTCCACTGAGTAGCATTTCCAGCTGTGCCCAAGCAAGATGATCTCAAAAATTCTCCTCTTCTGGCTCCTGGGCTCCTGCATTGAGGGTAAGAAATGTCCCGTGCAAACAGAGATGATGAGATATGGAAGACACCCTAGCAGAGCAGCACTAGGTTATTTCTCTGTCTGATCATTTCCTATGCTCTCTGTGCTAGAATTTCAATTCAAAGCTTCCACCGATGTTAATATGATTCTCCCAGCCACCCAATCCCTTATTTCTCTCTTCGTTTTCTCTCCAGGTGCCCAGGGGCAGATTGTGGTGACTCAGTCTCCAGAATCTGTTGCTGTATCTGTGGGAGAGACTGTCACTATTCAATGCAGATCCAGCAGAAGCATTGGCACAGAAATGAGCTGGTACCAGCAGAAACCTGGACAGGCTCCCAAGCTCCTGATCAACAGCGTCAGCCGTTACACTGGCATCCCTGACCGGTTCAGCCCCAGTGGGTCTGGCACTGACTTCACTCTCACGATCAGTGGGGTTGCAGCTGAGGATGCTGGAGATTATTACTGTCAGCAAGATTACGATACGCCTCTCACAGTGATACAACCCAGTACAAAAACCTCCCTGCTCTCTGAAGCATGCCGTGTTGCGGTCCCGGGTACACATAAGTGGCACAAGGGTTGAGGCCCAGTACCACTTCCCCCATTAGCTAGGTTAGCAGTATATACATGGTTATAGTCAACAGTCTATGTGGCTGTAACATCTTCCAAAGGGATTTGCTCAGGTCACTTGTGCTCCATTTTTTGCTGCCAATGAAAGGACATGGCTCCATATACATCCCCAAATATTTATTGACAGGAACATAATGACTAGCACATCTTCAGAGGAGACAGTCTGCCCCCCTGTAAGTCCACTAGCCTGTCCCCAAGCCTGTCTATCCTTCTTATCCAACTGCTGTTTCATTTAAATGCAGATGCACTATTAAGGGCAGGAGCAGAGACAGGAACCAGGACTCCAGACATCTTCTGTGTCGTGGCAGTACCCATCTCACTGAGTTACAGAGCCAGGCTCCCTTTGGGTTCCTCTCTGTCTGGACGCATCTTACTGCCTTTCCTCTCCAGTTGATCACCATCAGCAG